TATATATATATATATATATATATATATATATGACACTTCAAGCAAGCAAGAAAAATGTATATTTTACTTTCTAAAACTCAAAAAAATTATATTTTTATGCGATATAAATGATTCAGTTGGTATAAATCTAAAAAAAATAAAGTTTCGCAGTTATATATGTAAATAGATAGGAGTTGGTGGTATGTATGCAAATGTGTATTATTTTGGAAAATAATTTTATGGGACTGCCGCAAATTATTTTTGTTCGGAATATGATTTTATTTTCACAATTAGCAGTTAAAAGTCTATTTCGCATTTAATACACCGTCTATCAGTTTCATTCATTTTGGAATGCTCAAGTCAATTATATTTTCATAAGAATCCGTTCCACTCAGGACAGCTTGCTTTAATGACCTCTGTTATATTGAGTGGACTAATTTTGTCATGACTTATCTCTTTGACTTGGAAAGGACTTATTGAGAGAGAGAGAGAAAGAGAGAGAGAGAGAGAGAGTGAATATAACAATGAGTTCTTATCCGGCTAAGTGGCTTTAGGTACATTATTTCTTTTTCTCCATCTTATCATATTGTGTCATATTTTCACTTAATTATAATAATTTTTTATCTTTTTGTATATGATATGCACAAATCTTTTTAGATCAAGATTTGCTTTTCCTGACATGTTTAATCTAAAATGTCTGTTCTGCTTATCAGATCATCAGATGATTGATGTTTAATATAACCAGATCATCAGATACGGCTCTCTCTAATCATGTATGCAGCTGGAGCTACTCCAACCCTTTCACTAATAGATTTGTTTCGCATTTTTTGTCTTTAGTTATCAAGCCATTCATCCACTTAAAGTATTCTCATCTCTACAACGCTCAACTTTGTTTTATGTTTCTCTTCCCCGGGCTAGGATGAAGATCACCTTTGATGCGGAAGAGAGGAAGTATTGCTCCTTGCTAGCTACACTCCTCCTCAAGAAGCTCTCCTCACACACTCAAAGAATAGTGGAGGAAAGAGAATATTGCTTTTTATGAAGGATAGAGAAGGAGATGAAGAAGAAAAGAGGAGGGTTGGGAGAAAAAAAGACCTCACTCTCTCCTTTCTCCTTAGCTCTTCACCTTAAGGCCTTTAAGAAGAAAGCTTCAAGGAAGAAGAAGAGTTAAGCTCTCGGAGGAGACAAAAAGTGCTGAAGTTTGTTGATAGTGGAGAATGAGATGAAGTTAAACCAGCCCCCATGCAGGATTTCTAAAATACCCCTTGATTAATAATCCCCCAGCATTTTCATACTTCCAAGGAGATCTTCATAAGTCCAAGAAGGGCCTAACAATTCGGGTCCAGGTGGCAGGCCACCCTAGGACCGCGATGCCAGATTTTGAAATTTTGACGGGCCGACGTGGCCATGTCGGGCTCGAGTGTGGTCACGCTGCTCTACCCGTGGGGGTCGTGTGGTCATGCCAACACCCTAGCATAATTACGTCAAGCTCACTATCTTGCAGCTTGGTCACGCCGCCTTCGGGTGTGGCTACGCAGAAGGTAGCCTTTGCGCGACTGCTGGGAGGCCTTGCATGGCAACACAGTCCCACGACGTAATTACGTCGCGGGCTTTGTTTTGTTGTGTGGTCACACTTCCTTCGTGTGTCGCTACGCCAAATGAAGCCCCCCTCAACTCTTATATGAAGGGGTTAGGCGTGACCAAACCCAATTTGGGCATGGTCCAAACTCTTATGGGTAAATTTTCTGACTAAGAGTCTGTTAAGCGCATTTCACTGCATGAAAAGCTCTCCATGACTGGAACAAACCACATAGGCTTCATAATGGATTGCCCCTATAATGGGGAATCGTTATGGATAAGTGGTAGTCATTGTCAGATCAACCAGGATAGGGTGACCCTAGTTCGGAGACGGAGTGCAACTGGCAACGTTCTTGACATATTCCTTGAGCTACGGGAGGGTATGCGTGAGCGCCACACTCTTCAAAAACATCACATGGGCATCTAGTATTTGTGACATAAAAAAATTAATGCAGCAACAGAAGCTGAGAGCCCGTAACCCATCTATGCCAAAATTTTAGGATCTACATGGAATTCCCTCAAATCATCGATTATAACTCAAATCAGTTGATCGCAGAAACAAGATGACAACGGATGTAATGCTAAGCCTATGGCTTTATTTGTAGATCATATTGGACACAAAATCCTAGGGGAGTTGATTATTAAATTGACTTGCTTGATCTTAATGCCATTGAATGATAATAAATTCTCTGTCATTATTGTAGTTATTACTTTCAATGAATAGGAAAATTGAGGATGTACGAACCACAAACTGTCATCATGAATCTCAAAGCATTTTAACATCCGAGAAGACAGTTAGACGACCAAAGTGTCCTACCACTCTACTGCCAACCTCTTAGATTTATATTTTAAATTTGGGGAAGTAATATGTATACACCACAACTGGTATAACATTTTTTGTTTTCGAGACCAATCTTAAATATTTTAAATTTATTTAAAATAAATAAAAAAATAATTAAAATATATATTAAACTATTTTTAACCTCTTAAATATATATTTGATTAGTACAATTCATAAAATTTAATTAACCATGAAGGGGTGGTTGATTATCTAAATATAACTATTTCTAAACACCCTAGAAATGGAGCTTTATCAAGGAGAGGAGAGAGGCTCAGAGATGAGTGAAGAATAATGACTAGTAATCTATTTTATGGTCAATTGTATCTTATTCATAAAATATTTCCCCTATTATATAAGGGATGATATAATATCATGATATTATATTTTTTGCCTCTACTTTAAAAAGGTTCGCGTTGGGACATTTCTTGTATTTTACATGGGTAAACATGTCGTTCAACTGCTTTTTGGCTCTGTCGATTAGGATTCATCAGCTTGGGGCGACAAGATCAGCTCAGTCGGCTCGATATGCTTGGTTGGATTCACTTGGTCGATATAAGTCAGTCGATTGATATCACCCGACCGTTGATCCTATACTACATGTGATGGGAAGCTTCTAGGTGTCCCCATATGATTTGTGATGCAAAAAAATCGTACATTCTGTTGGATAAGCTATCTTGTGTGAGTTGACTTAGATACCAATTTTGTCTCATTTATGACTGAGTGTTTCATTCTTACATTCTCATGTTGGTTTTTATCCGTCTTGTGGTTCGGTCGACATTGGCCTTATTGACGTGGCTCAAAGATTCACTCAGTCTGATAAGTGGGCTTCATGATTTTCTGTTGTTACGACTATAGAATAGCATCATTTTCGAACAACTCGTGTTCAACTCGTTAAATAGCTCATATTCAATCCGTTCCTCAAATAAACAAGTCGAACATGAACAATTTTGTTAAGCTCGATTTACAAACAATCCGAACATAAACGAAAATTTTTTCTTTTGTGTTCAGCTCATTTTGATTCAAAATAATTTAAAAAAAATAATTATATTTTTTATATCATTTTAATTTTAATTTCTTTTATTATACTTAATGTGTATGTGTACTAAAAAAAAACTATCTTGGAGGGACAACCTCCAATCTCATCACTCTCACATAAGTTTAGTCCCACATCTGTGAGAAAATTTTTTTTACATTGTCAGCTTAAAAACAGGAAAAACCTCATGGCTTGCTTTGAGCCAAAATCAAGCAAATAAATGAACAAAATTTTTTTCGAAGTTGCTCATGATCAAATTAGAGTAATATCGAGCCGAATGTGAATCTAGTCATTAGGAGTCTAATTAAAAAACGAGCTAATTTTGAACAGATGTTAATGTCAATGTGTCAAACACGAATAAAGTCCCCTCACGTTCGGCTTGTCTAGACCCCTACTGTCACCAAACCCTTATTTGCTGTACTATTTCATTCTGGATCCTTAACTCTCCTCAGGATCAACACCGTCATATTTCTTACGTACACCGATATAATTAAATTTCAAACAGGATGCATTGATCCAATATTTATCACAAGGAAATGACTTAAGATATTATTACTAAATTTTAAGGGGAAAAAATAAATTCCTTAAATTTGTTTTAAGACAAATATATCATACATTCTAATTAAAAATATTAATTTTATTTCGAGATTAATATATATCTCAAAATAAATTAACAAATTTGAAACTTATTTAGATTAAAAAAACACTTTGATTTATTTCTTGCTAAAAATAGATTTCATGGCCGTCCATAAATGCCGAGAAGACGAGTGGCCAACTTTCCGTGTTCGCTGTTGTGTCTATAACGGCAGCTCGGCCCGAGCGATGGAATCTCCACTATTACCGCAGAGGAATCACGCCTCTGCTCCATCCGCTCTCACCCGTTTCTTTCCTTCCCGGTATTCTTCACGCACATGTAAGATTGGAGGGGGGAGATATTTGATATTTATACGATTTTGAAAGCGATTCATGATTTTGGATTATATTCGGTTTTCGATTTGATTTCGGTGTTTTTTCTTTTTTTTCTTTGGATGTTGGGGTTAGGTGGAGCGATGTGAATTTGATTTGGGCGTTTGATGAACGAGGCTGCCTCCAAGATCATGACTGACGAGGACGACAAAGGTAGGGTTCTTGTTTGAATTTATATGCCGCTGATCTTGATTTGTTGTGTTTTTGTTTTGGTTTTTGTAATTTGTTTGTTACTGTTGTGATTGTGGAGTTGTTTTTTGATTTTGGAGGTAATGTGTGTTTTTAGTTGTTTGATCGGGGTGCTGTTCTTGGGGAAGGATTAGAGATGTTTTTTGGGTTGTGTTGAATGAGATTTGGGTATTTGGGGATGGGGGATGTTGGGTTTGGATTGGTTGCATGGCAGAATTGCTATAATAATTGTTGTTTTTGAGGTTAAGTGCGATTGCTTTTTGTTTTTTTTTTTAAAATTTTTGGGAAGAGTATTGTAGTTTGTTTAAGTCTTCCCCCTTGCTTTGGTGATCTAATGGTCTGGGCACCTGAATTGAGATAAACTGGTTATAATCCATCAGATTAGATTGTTGTCACACCTTTCAAGCGGATAATATCACAATTTTGGGGGAAGAATTATTTGGATCTGGATGTGTGGTGGTGCGCCACCTGAAGCATTTCGTAGGTTTGAGGATATGAGTTTTACAGGCCTAAATATTTAAAAGAAAGGTGCATGCCAATCGATTGATCACCTTCTAGATGATTCAAAAGTCGGAAGTTGCTTTGGATTTCAATTGCCGTTGTCATGTGAGCGATTGGATGCTATTGTTTTGCTTGAGAAATTAGTAAATACAAAAGATTATGGTGATTTGCCAAGGGGATATGAGAAGACATTGCCAAACTTTCAGGACGACGATGTTGATCAACTTTGAGTTCATCTCCATGCTCTCGTAGGCTCAGTTAACTTAACCTAATTGGAAATTCATCTTCTCTACCCAAGTTTTGATTTAGGCTAGTTGTGAGCGGTGCATTACTCATGGATAATGGGAGAGGTGAAGAAATGCTTGGTTTAACTCTTCATTGGGTGCTATGTTTCACAACCTCAAGAGGGATAAGAGGGGTAGAATGGTCGTTTGGGTTGGGGAACCAAGAACCACATTTTATTTTATTATTCATTGCTTGATGCTTCCAAATTGTTACATAGACCCTTTTCAATAAAAATGAAGAAAATATGAGAATACACCTTTTCATGCATAGTTTTAAGGCACCAAAGTGTTATGTATGTAAATATGAAAGTTTAGGTGTGAGATATATAAATACATATGAATTGTGTGCTATGTATGTAATTTTCCCAAGAAGATTTTAAATTCAATTCAAACTTCAAATTTTCTTAAAAGTAGGGACTAACCTAAGAAATGGCTAATGATTTCTTAGAAAATTGAAATTCAAAATCAACCTAATCTCACTTATGTGGCCAACTATGCTTCATGAATAGAATGCTTGCTTGAATTTACCCATGGTTCCACATTTCATGCATTCTTTTAGGATATTCAAATCTATTCCTTCCACTGTTATTCTTAAACTTTGATTTAGGCTAGTATTGAGAGGTAGATTAATTATTTGTAGAGAATTGGAGAGGTGGGGGAGGAGTTTTTCTCTCCTTTAGATAGCATGTCCAACAACCTCAAGTGAGGTAGAGTGATAGCTTGGTTTTTGGGAACCAGCATCGTTCATTACTTTCAAATGGTTACATAAACCTCTTTAAATGGAATTACAAAAAACTCTAGAAATATGAATTCAAATTATATTTCAAAAATCAAATTTTCTTGAAAATAAAACCACCCTAAAAATTAACTAACCAATTCTTAAACTAGAAAATTAGAATTTAAAACCAACTTACTTCCACTAAAGTGGCTAGACTTGCTTAATGGATAAGGTGGGTGCTTCAATTTATCCATGGTTCCACTGTGACGACTGCGCCTTTTTTGTGATGACCTAAGAATTTTTACTTTGTAAAATTGGCGATGAATATTGCTCACGTTCATTAAAAATCTTGGGGAATCTTTTGAATACTTTGTGACAATTTTGGAAATTTCTAGAATATTCAGGAATGCTTCAAAATATGCTAAAAATTTGTTATGTTGGAATCCTCCTATATAAATAATAAAAATAATAATTTATGTTTTGTGACAACCATATGTTTGGCGATGTTTCAATTGTTGTTGTTGTGAATTTTTTCTTTTTAATATTTGATTGTTGGGTGCGAATGGGTTTAGGGGATGTTGAGAAGATTGAATTTGTAACTTTCACTTGACCAATGGAGTTCCAATATTGGTTCATCTAAACAAAGTTGGACTCACAATTAAATTCATGTTGTAGGAGTTATGAACTGGTATGGTAACTTTCAGCTAATAATGATTGGTTGATAGAAATACGATGAAGTTATATTCTAGAGCTTTTAAAGCATAATTCACCATTTGAAATGCAAGAAGTCGTTTTTCCTAAAGGTGTAAAGCAAAGTAGGATTGCTATTGTTCTAAATACTTTACCTTATGAGTCTTATATAAAATAGGATACCTAATAATAACCTTTCTATGCCAAAGATAGGCCACTTGAACCAATAATTTTTAAGCTAAACACAATTACAGCGACATACCTGATTCTTTCAAAAACATATAATTACATAATATCAATGGAGTATAATAAATATGGAAAAAATAACAAATAAAAATTTAATTAAGATAAATAGGAAAGTTTGTAGCTTGCACTAAATTTGAATAGCACATGCACAAAATAATTGAAAGTATGCTACATTCTTTTTACACGCTTCATCTTTACAAAAAAAATATAACATGATATATAGAAAAATGAAACCTAAAGATTAATATGAAGAATTGGATAAATTTTGCCCTCATCAACAATTTTTATAGGCAATGTTGATAGTTTAATACAATTAAACTACTCTCTTGAAAACATCTAACTCCTAACACTATTTCTAGGCATAAAAAATTTACCTCAATATTTGACCTGGGAAGGCTTAGGCAACAACAACACTAAAAGTGATTTGCACATCATATGTGTGGATTCTTAGACATAAATATCAATTTTTACTCAAAAGAGATGACACTTAATCAACACAATTGAAGGGGATTCTTGCAAATAAATGGTAGGCCTTTACCTTAGTTTTTGGGTCTCACTAAACATCCAACATTGGATCCACCAGCGTAGCCCCCAAATTGCAATGATATTAAAAATAGAAAACCGAAAAATATCCAATGTTTGCTCCATGCTCAAAGCTGTTGATCATTTGATTCTTCTACTTATGAATTGTTATTGGATTTAATTCAAGATAATGTAAAATGTAATGTAGCATTAATATGATCTTAACCGTCAGACTAAAAGCACTTGTGCCTATTAAGGATGCTACAAGCACCAATATACTGAGCGATCATGCCTAAAAATGCGCTGCTAGCCCCTTTGGTAAATTAAGGTTAAGTACCATTCTATTTTACAATGGCCATGTGTATGACTTGATGGTCCGTTTAACATATTTGATAGGACGTGAAGCTCTATGTAAGCCTTTTTTTTTAATTTATTGTCTTTGATCATTTCTCATGTGACTGCACATAGCCTCCCATTGAGTTGATGCTATATATTCTAGTTGCCTGAGTGTTTTTTATCCACAAATTATGGCTTAATGAACCTTAATCTTTGCTGAATTAAAAGAGTTAAAGCATTAATCCTTCATTGAGTATTCTTAGATATAGCAAATGTGATGTAATTAATCATGGGGGTTTGCACCATAAGAAAGTTCGATTCTATAATTAATCATGGGGGCTTGCACAGAAGAAACTTCAATCCATAAAACTAAGTCTTGATCGCCATTCTAGGGAAATTTTTGGGATATATTTTCAAACTTACATTGATTCTTGCATTGAGAATGTCCTTCCATCCTTTGGGGTGGTACTTTCCCTTTTCAACTCGGAGCTCTTTTGAAGGCTACACTTTATGTTGGCCAAATTTTTCTTTATTTTGACATTTAAATTTCTTTCATATATTATTTGTACAATTCTAACTTTATACTTTTTAACCACATAATTTATATGTTACTTAGCAAGGTATGTTGTGAATTTTTATTTTTTTTAAGCCAACTTCAAATGAATTCAAGCAACTTCGAATTAAACTCCTTTTGAGTCTAGCCATCTGCGCTTGATGAGTGATTGGATTTTGGGTTAAGGCATTCAAAATTTAGATCTTTTTGAGCTCGAGTCCAGTCAGAGTTGTTTCAAAACTGTCACCCCACAATTAATCCAAAGCCTTGATATTTTCTTCATTTCTCACACAATGAATGTGACTTTCACAAGTCTCTCAATGTTTTGGTTCTTATTAGTTTGCTTCTCTGTTGATCACTGGCTGGGAACTCTATTATTAATTCTGTGGAACCTTTACATATGTTGGTTGTACAGTACAAACGATACTAATAGGTATAATGGAAGCAGAAATGTAAAATCTTACAGACCAGGATAGCATAAAGAATCATCATATTCGACTCCATCTGGAGCCTGAATAATTTGCCTAGAATCCGGTAACTGCTTGCAAGTACATGGATGCTAGCTGACGGTATTAAATTTAATGATTTTACCAATGTATATTAGCATGCACATTCAACGAGCTTTATTTAATCATTTCTGGCTTCATTGTTTCAGACAAAAAATATGTCTAATCATGAAACTCATGTTCTTCGAAAATCTTATTCTATATTTATCATCATTTAGATGAACACCTTTATATGCCCATGTTGTTGTAGTAAACTTTCAGAACTTTAATAGGTTTGACTATTTTATCTTTCTGAATGCAGTCACAATGCAAACAAACATGGAGGCATCCCTTGGATGTTTTAAGAAAAAGGCATCTCACTTGAAGTCCCAGGAAAGTGGGAATGCCACGGAAAATTTTCATGGGATTAAAGAAGATACTAAAGCCTGTCCTGATTTCGTTGATTCAGAAAAAGCAGTTAACAGGGAAGGTTCTAGACCTATGCCCCAATGCCACAATATGCCATTTTTCCCGCAAGAATTCTTAATGTGGCCAATAATCTATCCTGGTATCCAGATGCAGCAACAGCGTCTTCCGAATGTCTTCGACAATCATTTCCTTCAGATGAACAGAGAGGGTTTTTACCCCGCTGAACCTAAAATTCATTATAGGCCATACAAGATGGTTCCTCAAGGTTACCCACATGAACTTCAGTTTCAAGAATTTCAATATTTTGTGGTTATCGACTTCGAAGCAACCTGTGATAAGAATAATAATCTACATCCACAAGAGATTATTGAGTTTCCATCTGTTCTTGTTAATAGCTTTACTGGACTTCAAGAGGCTTTTTTCCAAACATATGTTAAACCCGTCCATCATCAACTCTTGACTGATTTCTGCAAGGAGCTCACAGGCATCCAACAAATTCAAGTAAATGACTTCCCCTGCAATTCTTTCTATTTTATTACTGTAAACTCGGTCATTAAAGATTGATATTCTTGCCTTAAAATAAGTGAGTTCCACTAGACGCCATGCCACAATAAGTTAGTTTAGATTGACTCAAAATCTATTTAAAATCAAAATACATTGAGTCTGGTTTGGTTTACTTGGAAAGAGTCTAGTCTGAGTCTACTAGAAATGTCTTTGAATGGGCTTGACTTACAACTTTAAAACACATAAAATATTTGAAAATAGAGGAGAAGGGGTTCTAGCCTCTATTCTTGCAAGGGAGTTTATGCTTTAACTACCTAATGATTTGTTGAAAGCAAATTATTTCAAAAGCTTGAGCTAACTTTATGATACCCTCCTTTATGGAAATGCTAAGTTTTAGAGAAATAAATTAGTCATTTGGAAAATATTAGAGCTCTATGATGATTGAGTTCTACGAGAAATATTTTTAGCTTGAAATGTAGTCTTTCTCACCATCTAAGAAACAAATATTAATAGGTCAAGTTGAGGATTTCTTTTGAGGACCCTCTAACACTCAAGTTAATGAGTTAATGATCATGGAGGTGCACTCCTTGTACTAATAGTGAGTTTGAGGTACAGTCAGGCTGCCTAATCTTGGGGTTTGGCTTCATATTTTTTTAAGATACCGCTAAATTTGTAATTAAAAGGTTTCGTATAAAATATAAATCAGTTGGAACTTATAAGGTGTTGTATTTAGGGGTGTAAACAAATCGAACACGAACGAATAGAACTCGTGTTCGTGTTCGGTTCGTTTGAAATTAAGTGTGTTTGAAATAGGCTCATGTTCGAAATTGTTTTTGAAGTTAATGTTCGTGTTCGGTTCGATTTGTTTGAATTGTTTGAATTATTCGAATTGTTCGAATTGCTCAAATTGTTCGAATTTTTTGAATTATTTGAATTATTCGAATTGTTTGAATTGTTCGAATTGTTAAAATGATAATAAATTTAATTATTAATTCTCAAGTTGCCAAAAGAAAAATAAATAACATCCCTCTGTTAAAAAATATATTTATTCAACTATATTATTATAAATTGTTAAGAACAAGTTACGAATGAAATATACATTTATAGTTTCAAATCAAATTCTAAAAAAACTAGAAATCATTATTATAATTTATAGAATTGAATTTTTTAAAATATAATACATTTTTAGGGTATATAATTATTTTTGAAATATAATTTTTTTTATATATAATTATTTTATATTTCGAACAATAATGATTCAAACCTGATTGAACACATGACTGCTTGTGTTTGGTTAGTTTATAAACCTGACGAAAAAAAAATTTGTTTGTGTTTTTCTCGTTTGTTTATCAAACGAGCCGAACACGAATTGCCTGACGAGCCGAACATGAACTTTTTGTGAACAATGAGCTTTTTTGACAACCCAATTGTTATGTGCTTGAAAACTTGTGGATTGTGTTTTTGGCTTAAAACACTGTACTGCATATAAGGCTTGCATCCAGTCTTGTAAGCTAGGTTAGACTCAAATTCGAAATAAATGATTTCAAGCTTACTTTAACTCAACCAAAATTGAAATATATTTTGAGTCAAGTTTGCTTAGCTTAGACTCGATTTTTAAATTAAGTGGAATTGAGTTTGAGTTGACTTAGTTTATAAATGCAAGACAAAAAAGAAGAAAAAATGCTACTGCAAAAATTTTTTGAATTCTTAGCACGAAGGACATGAATGATTAGATTTAACAACTGATCATTTGTTGAGATCACATGTTCTTAAACATTATACATATGTGTGTGTGTGTGTGCGCCGCGTACCTCAGCTTGTTGGTTGATATCCTCGGTGTAAGCCCCCTCAGGTCGAGGGTTCGAATCCCTTCTTCCACAGTTGGCCTTAAGGAGGTGGTACTCGAATTTTTAGGCATACTAGGAGTGGTTGGAGGCTCGTATAATAGCTTTTGGTCATTATATATATATATGTGTATATATGTATATATATGTATATATATATATATATATATATATGTATATGTACATCTATATATGTATATGTATAGATATACATCTATATATGTATATGTATACATATACATATATAGATATATAGATGTATATGTATATATCTACATACATATGTATATATGTACATACCTTAAGTTAGTTAAATTTAAACCAATATGATTAGTTAACCTAAACCTTAGGTTAGTTAAACCTAAATCAATAGGATTAGTAAACATTAGGTTAGTTAACCCTAAACCAATAAGATTAGTTAACCTAAATCTAAGGTTAGTTAATCCTAAACCAAAAGGATTAATTAACCTAAACCTCATGTTAGTTAAACCTAAACCAATACGATTAGTCAACCTAAACCTGAGGTTAGTTAACCCTAAACCAATAGAATTACTTAACATAAACCTTAGGTTAGTTAAACCTAAACCAATAGGATTAGTTAACATAAACCTTATGTTAGTTAACTCTAAACCAATAGGATTAGTTAACGTAAACTTTAGGTTAGTTAAACTTAAATCAATAGGATTAGTTAACTTAAATCTTATGTTAGTTAACCTTAAACCAATATGATTAGTTAACCTAAACCATAGGTTAGTTAATATTAGTTAACCATAAACCAATAAGATTAGTTAACCTAAATCTTAGGTTAGTTAACCCTAAACCAATAGGAGGATTAATTAACCTAAATCATAGGATTAGTTAACCTAAATCTTAGGTAAATTAACCCTAATCCAACCCTGATCTTTAGGTGAAACAAACCTAAATCATAGCTTAATCTTAAGTTAAACCCACCCTAAACCTTAGGTTAGAATCTAGCCCATAAGTTGAACATAGGAGAATATTTTAGGTATGACCTTAAACCTAAGTTAAACCTAAACCCCTCAACTTGAACGTCAATTAAAAAATAAAATAAAACACATTGAGATGGGTAGAATTTACATAAAACATATTAAAACTTAAAATTAAACCAAATCAAACACAACAAGACTTTAAAGCATGGCTTTGAAGTTAAGTCAGCTTCAAAATCGTCAACCTCACATAAATAATAACAAGTGAATAAAATAACTAAAATAAGACACTTAAAATTCTACAATAAGATATAAACAATCTAAAACATTTCAATCCTAAAATCGATAAAGTAATTCAAGAATTAATTAAATCTTAATCATAAAGATCACATAACGCAACTTAAATCTCTTTTTGTTCTAGTTTACGAAGATTTCTTGGACGATGCATTCTGTGGATGTTGACAAGAATCTTCC